GCCATTCTCATTGCCTTTTTACTCTTTGCTTCTCTTTTCTTCCTTCCCACTTCAACTATGGCTTTTCAACTCAAGGGTAATAATACTCACTAACTTCTCTATAATTCCTCAATTCTCATATGCACCAAAGAAATCAATATCAAATTTGAAACTTACGAAACTTGATTCTTATAACTTCTTTAGGTGAACATTTTAGTATAAATATAAAAGAGTAATTTATGTTTTTTTTTTCCTTTTGTTTGATATTTCTACGTGAGAGGTGACCACTATAGTTAATGTAATGATGTATGTACATTTTTATGCAGAAGGTTCAGTTCAGACAGGAGCCCTTAAGAAGAATGCTGTTAAGTGTTCTCCCGGTAAGGGTTATAGAAAGTGCGTTCCATCGAGAGCACCAACGCCACCAACATCTCCACCACCACCATCATGCTCAACCTATACACGTCATTGTTGAACAATATCTAAAAGATGCAATAGCCAAATGAATTAAGTATACTTTTACTTTCTGCTGATGCCATTAGCACTTGCTGTGTTAAACCATGGAGCTACCATCTCTGTCTATTGCTTTAGAATTTCCAGTGCTTTCACCCAATAATGAGTGTTTTCCGAGTTTGTTGTGAAATAAATGTTTGGCCTCTAGGCCAATCCAATAAATAAGAACTTGTTGAGTTTGTTGTTCCATGTGCCATCTTTTATGAAGGATGTAAAAATAGTAAGATAGATGCTTTTACATACTTGAAAAGAAAAATATATTAAGGTTCTTGCGTGCGACTACAAAATGAAAGCTTAAACATTATGATTGCTTAAGGAGAAAAAATAGAGTCACTTCTTATTAAGCAAAGATGAAAGGTAGAAAAAAAAATGTCTTCGATGGATATCCCAAATATAAGAAGAGAACAGAGAATACAGAGATGAGATAGAGTTGAGTTTTCGGTTATTTCAAGACAGGATCAAAACGACGTGCTTTACAACCCGAAAACATAGTCCGAAAACCATTGTATTATTTCCGGAAATATGAACTTTATTTATCTTTGAATATTCAAAACACGCACGGTTTATAAACTTTTTCACTGTTGAAATGGAAGCATCTAACAATTATCTAATACAAGTAATTCTTCATTTCAATTTAGAATTGATAAACATAATTAAACGTTTTTTGTTCTAATTAGTATTATTCAAAATATTTGGTTCGTACGCTTTCCTTGTCCTTTGCATCAAGACTTTCTCTCTTTCTATCTTTTATATTAATCAATATTTATTCTCTCTTTTATATAAATTGTCTATGTAATATACAAATTTTATTTTCATATTACATTAGAGTTATAAGTTAGAACATATCCAAAGAAAATTTGATATTTGTTAGTTTTATTATTCCAGTTGTAATCAAACTATCAATTAATGTTTAATTTTACAAATGAGATGTATATATCTCGATTTGAGGAATGTATGTTGGGAGTCACACATCGACCATAGATAAGATGATTTCATAATATATAAATGAGTACAAACCTTACCTTACAAGTCAATTTTGTAGGATTGAGTTAAGCTTAAAATTCATTTTCTTAACATGGTATCAGAACTTGGTTGTCATGACTTCTAAAAACTCTCAAACCCCTTCCACCCATCAACTTTTTTCCTCTCCATCCTTCACCCTTGCACCTTATACTTTCACCACACCAATCACTTCCAAATTCG